ACGGCTCTTCACTATGCTAATGCTGCTGATGTGAGACATTAAGGTGGGACTGGGCTCAGATGGGCTGGGTAAGGTCTTAAATGTAGCAAATACACATGGGCCACACTGTGCAGACAAGCCAACCATGCCAATTATACCATGGGCCAGGTGCACTGATAACTAAGAGCCTATTGGTAACCATGTCCCTCTGATGTTCTTAACAGCCACTGTTGTGCAGATCAACTCATAATAGGCACTACATAGGCAGACACGATTCATTCTCCTCTCTCCGCTCCATCTGAAGACTCTGTGTGTCTGCCAAATTAATTTCCGCAACACAGGCAGTGTAGTCTCCTTCAAACCAGAGCAATGAAAACACCAAGGTCACTTATTCAGATTAAAAAAGAGCAAAGATAAAGGTCAGGTCATGCTAGACATGATATGGCCTGTTTTGTGTGTAAAAAGAAAAATGTGAACCTACACACAATCAAATACATAAAAAAGAATGTATCTAGACTAAATACACAGATTACATTAGAAAACTTTTCATAATAAATCACAATTGGACTTAACGACAAATGCAGTTAACCTGAATGTTGAAGTTCTATTTAAAAAAACAAACATATAAATATAAAATATGTTTATTATAAAACATAGGCTGACAGAAATGGGCATTAGTCACTATGTTTTTATTTATTTATTTATTTTTGGACATTATGTAGTTCTATAGCAATACTTAAGTCATGATATTGGTTAATTTGAAATAATTATACAAATGGAGTCATCTTGAAAAATAAAATATCTATGCAACAACAGTAGCCTTGGGCCTAAACTGCCCTGATATATGACATTGAGCTGTATGCTGTGTTCGTTCACCCCCTAGTGGTCAACAATGGGACTTCAATTCAGTCACCAATGCTTCCAAACAATTAATTTAATATTTAGGTTTACATAAACTAAATGTAATCATGAATGACCTATAGGACAGAATAAGAGAAGACAAATTAAGAAATAAGGATATTATTTTCCCTGCGGAAATTTAAAAAAATACTTACTTGCTTTGTTTCATCTGTTTTATCTTTCTGCTGACGAGCTTTTAGGTAAGACCCCTGCTTATGTGTGTTGATACCAAGAGTTGCTTTATTACGTTCCACAATGTCTTCTCTAGCTCTCACTGGCCTTGGATTAGAAGGATGTCGAGAGCTTCTCTTCTGGAGAGGAACTGATTTGACATTCAGATGCTTTACATTATCCTGTGGTGTGCCTTCAGAGGACATGCAAGAACTTTCTGATTCGGGGGGATCGATAATGTCTTCCTGTTGTGGGTGCAGGTGGAAAGGAGATGAAGGTGGTGGGGATAAAGCACTGTCCGTCTGAACTGCGGGTGGATTACTGACAACGACATATTCTTGCCTGCAACCTAGAGGCACATTCTCCAAGGGTTCAAGACTGTCTTCAGACTCCTCAAACGAGTCGAGAGAAAGTCTCGCATTTAACTGGTTGAGAAAATAAGCCCCTTCCAAATTCTTCCTCCAGTTTGGGTCGTAGCGCAAGTCGGCGTATTCATCCTCAGGGGGAGATTCCCTGAAATATTTCAAAAAGAGTTAAGAAGAAATAAGTCATAAACACTTAAGATGAGCTTTAGGCTGGGTACGTCTCATTTAGTGCTTTCGGCATTGTCAGTAAGACTGAATGCCTGAAACAGCCATCAAAACACAAGGGAAAAAAACGGCTACACTTCTCAGCTGAAGCGAAATGGTAATAGCGTGTTGTCGCGCTATTACCCCCCCCTCCTTACCCCTAATGACTATGGGTCTGAAGACCACAATTTGGAGATAGTTTTGCAAATGGCTAATTCAAACATATGAAATAGGTTCAAACTACAACCTAATGTGCTCCTAGCATCATTGGATGAAAAGATCTCATTAAAATAATTAGAAGAGTGCCTCTTTGTTGTGTGCCTCTGAATAGTACAAGATGCTCTTAACATCCCATGATGCCAAATACAAGGCTGTCTGGATGCATAGCACTTCAGCCAATGAGGGCAAAAAGGGCAAGGAATGGTTCTGTAATGATTGCACTGACATGGTCTTGAGAATGCGCTGTTGGTTTGCAGCTGTGACGGGGTCTTTAACATGCAAAGTCTCTCTTTGAAATGTGTCAGAATTAAATCCAATAATAGGAAACATGGTCTATTGTTTTCAGCTCATTTCATTCTGAATACGAGACTTGAGTCTCTTTAAAGACAATGCGTGCGGTTAAGAGGATGTAAACTAAATGGGTAGTTATTAGCTTCAATGATATTATGCCAAATATTGCTGCATGCCATTCATTTGCAGGATTTCATTCTTGAGCATGAAAATATGATGAGAGAGCTGCTTCGTTTCGACAATAAAGTCTTTGTCGAGGTTCGCCATAGCTATTATGAAAAAACTATGCATGGGGTTAAGTACCTATCTAGTATGCAAAAAATTAAAACAAACGGCTCTCGTTTTTATCCCGAGGCAGATTTTGAGTGGCAGGCACAACAGCTAGGCTGGAGATGAAGGAGTGGAGACAGATGCTGTGATCCACACTTCAGATTCCAGCAATCTGTGTTTCAGAAGCACAGAGAGCTCATCCATTCACTGGTAACAAAGCAACTGCTTTTTAACAGACTGCTGAATGAGACCTTATTGTGGTAACGTCCTGCAAACTAAAATTCTAATTTCCCCTAAATGGGGGTACTTGTTTGGAAAGTACAAACATTAGTGGATATTTCGGCTCAATTAAAATGCAAGCGCAAACATCATTTTCAAAGACTGTCATTGTATCTATTAGATGTGAATAAAAGCTGTCAGTCATCTAGGTTGTTTGCAGAGCAGCTAAACACAAAAAGCGCATAGTCATTTTGTTGGTGATGTATTTAAGTCAGTGTTTTCAGGTATTGCCAATTCAGTCTACTTCAGGAACAGAAGCAAAACCTGAAATACAAAACAGAGGGACATTCAATAAGGTCAGTGAATGCTTGCCTGCATTGCCTTGTTAGACACTGTAATACATTTTACATATATAACATGACATAAGCCTAGTTATGTAGCAGATGACAGACACACCATAAATGGGACAGGTATGATCGTATGATCCTGATATGTTTATGGCTTGGCTTAATCTTCTGTACTTCAACCTCTGAGTTACACCTAGATACAGGTGTTTACATTAAGGCATCTGACAGTAAATATTAGATATGCAACTTAAGCAAAAGGTAACTTCATTATGACCATAGACTGACTCGACCATACAGAAGTTATTAGCTTGACAAATAGTTAATTATAAACACACTTTAGATGTATGACACCTCTACACAAGCATTTAAGAGTCATAAGGATGTTAGTATATCTCAAAATACAGCACCGAACAACCATCTGTAATTGCTTAATTAACATTAAGAATGTGTATGGGTTATCATTCCTTTTCAACTTTAGATAGTTCACCCAAAAATGAAAACTGTCATTATTTACTCACCCTGATGTGGTTCAAAATATCTGTATGACTTTGTTTCTATGTGAAACACAAAAGACGTTGAAAATCACTAGTAACCAAACAATTTTGTTGCTACTGACTTCCACTGTGTGGACAAAAGAAAACAAAGTACGGAGACAATTATCAAAATATTTTCATTTGTGTTCCACAGAAGAAAAAGAAAGTCAAAAAGAAAGTAGCCGATTTTATATTATTATAATATTAAATATATTTATTATAATTAAAATTGTTTTAAAAATTGTTTTAGATGAAATAAAGCATTTGACATCACAGGAGGAGACTGATGTCACTGCCTGAAACGCCACGTCAACTACTCAATTACTGCTGGTTGCATGAGACTAGTCCCATATGGTAGGGAAATAGCAAACTGTTATCTTACCTCAGAGGGTCATGTTGTCCTTTCACTTGTCTTGGTTTCAGATCCAGACTATCATAAACATCAAGATTCTCTGGTTCCTCAATGTCAGTCTTATCATGTTGTTTGGGTTTAACAGCAGAGATGAGGTCAATTCGCATCTGGAGCTCTCGCTGGTACTCCTCTTGCACCAAACTCTCAGTATCGGACTCTAAGGAGTCCCACATTAGCGGTAAAGCGGGCACATTATTCCTTGGACTAGTCATTGTTCATGTTGAATTTGACTTTTGTCTGTTCCAGCGCCTCAGGCCCGTTCTGCTCGTGATGGCGTTGATGTTCTGACTTCGGAGACGATCGACTTCAGGGCTTAATATCACAGAATCAACATTAAGGAGTGGTGAAAACACGTTTTAATTTAGCTAGCGACGTTACTGAGCGTTAGTTCACTCGGTTGTTGACTGACTTTCCAAATCAGCTGTGTAACTCATGCTGTAATGTAAACGCCGAAATAATGTAAAACGTTGCTACAGCATCAAAACATTACCTCGTACACAAATCCATTGATTTGCTCCAGATTTAAGGATTTTTTTTTTACCTGCTATAAACATCGAAAGATGAGCCGCTCATTGTCAAGGAACGTTTCGTTTGCTAAACTGTTGCCATGGAAACACGCATGCGCGGAACTATTCCTTGCCCTTCAGAGGGACGCAAAAGCATTGAACCGTTGCGAACGACTTGAGTTGTAGGAGGCCACTACGTATTTTTCGTAATTGTTATCGTTCAGTAAGAATTTATTGTATGTAAATCATGTGTACATATACAATAACTATTCTTAAATACTATTCTCATGGTGCATTGACTTTATGGTCATGACGTCCAGTGGAGTAAAAAGCAACTTTAACCATTCAGGCTGAGGTTTACTGTAAAAACTGGATGATTAGCTTTGACACTTACTTTATACATGACCTCAGTCATTACAACGCCAAAATGGCTGAAGCAAAAAGCTAAATTATGCACTGGATAGATTTAAATACATTACCCTAAGGACAGTGACACATTCTTGATATTTAGAGGTTAAAGAAAATTTAAAGGTCAAACTCCAAACTTTGACAAAGAAAAAAAGAAAAACAGACAGAGGCAGTACTGGGAATAGGTCACCATTTTATTCACTTCCTTCAAAGCATTGAGGCAGTTGGAAAAGGCTTATGAAATTCACATTTCACAAGTCAATAAATAGGTTGTGCAATCTAGGTAGAAAATCTGTTCCCTGTGATCTGGAAATGTGACCCGTTAATACCCTTTTCTTTTTTTTTTTTTTTAATTGCAACCATCTCTCTGCAAGTTGAAGTCATCCAAAACTTCCACAAAAGTAACAATTTTAGAGGAGTCCAACTATAGAGGGCAACAGTAAACATTGCTATGGAGGTAGCGTAGTGGCTTTGGAATGGCTTAGTCGACCTCCTCAATGGTTGGGCCGGAGGATCCACCTCCTGGAGCAGAGCCGGCTCCTGGGAAGCCACCTGGCATACCATCAGGCATTCCACCTGGCATGCCTCCAGCACTCTGGTACAGCTTGGTGATGATGGGGTTGCATACCTTCTCCAGCTCCTTCTGCTGGTGCTCAAACTCCTCTTTCTCAGCAGTCTGAAAGTTTTCAAACACAGACGTCAAGTCAGAGTTCGCCAGTGCAAGCTTGGAAAAGTAATCCAAAAGCCACTTGATTGGCCAAATGTCTCAACTGATAGCAAACTTACCTGGTTCTTGTCAAGCCAACTGATGACTTCATTGCACTTGTCAAGGATCTTCTGCTTGTCCTCATCACTGATCTTGCCCTTCAGTTTCTCATCCTCAACAGTGGACTTCATGTTGAAGGCGTAGGACTCCAGACCATTCTTGACAGACACCTTGTCACGCTGCACATCATCCTCAGCCTTGTACTTCTCTGCCTCCTGCACCATGCGCTCAATGTCCTCCTTGCTGAGACGACCTGAAATGGACTTCCAGTTAACCTCTGAAGATGCCACCACAAAGTCTTTAAATATTTAGGTGCAGAGAGAAGACTTACCCTTGTCGTTGGTGATGGTGATTTTATTCTCCTTGCCAGTGCTCTTATCCACAGCTGAAACATTCATGATACCATTTGCATCAATGTCAAAGGTGACCTCAATCTGGGGAACACCACGAGGTGCAGGGGGGATTCCAGTAAGCTCAAACTTGCCCAGCAAGTTGTTATCCTTGGTCATTGCACGCTCACCCTCATAGACCTGAAAAGGGGGTAATTAAAACAAGATAGCATTGTTTAAAGTAATCGAAGAGACATTGGGTGGGATAAAAGACTAAACTCCTAATAGAACTATTTCGTACCCACCTGAATGAGCACACCAGGCTGGTTGTCGGAGTAGGTGGTGAAAGTCTGAGTCTGTTTGGTTGGAATGGTGGTATTACGCTTGATGAGGACAGTCATGACTCCACCAGCTGTCTCAATTCCAAGGGACAGAGGAGTGACATCTAGCAGCAGCAAGTCCTGAACGTTCTCAGACTTATCACCAGAGAGGATGGCAGCCTGGACAGCTGAAACAGAAGAGTGAGAAATAAGAACCTTGGGCAAATTGAGATGGTCAGATCGCAAAGACAGCAGTCGCTCAGACATCCAAGGAAGGTTCTTGGGCCATCTTTGGTCTTTCAACCTCTGGTGGAAACTACGAATGGCAAGGAATCAACTTCATCATAGCAAACGACCAAAAAAACAAAAACAAAAAAAAAACAAAACAAAAAAAAAAAAAAAAAAAAAAAAAAAAAAAAAACAACCCACAGGATTAAAACAAATCACCCACCTGCTCCATAGGCCACAGCCTCATCAGGGTTGATGCTCTTGTTGAGCTCCTTGCCGTTAAAGTAGTCTTGGAGCAGCTTCTGGATTTTGGGAATGCGAGTGGAGCCACCAACCAGGACAATGTCGTGGATCTGAGCCTTGTCCATCTTGGCATCACGAAGGGACTTCTCGACTGGGTCCAAGGTTCCACGGAAGAGGTCAGCGTTGAGCTCCTCAAAACGGGCCCTTGTGATGGAGGTATAGAAATCGATACCCTCATAGAGGGAGTCGATCTCAATACTGGCCTGAGTGCTGGATGATAGGGTACGCTTGGCCCTCTCGCAGGCGGTGCGGAGACGGCGAACGGCTCTCTTGTTGTCACTGATGTCCTTCTTGTGCTTGCGCTTGAACTCTGTGATGAAGTGGTTCACCATGCGGTTGTCAAAGTCTTCTCCACCCAAGTGAGTGTCTCCAGCAGTAGATTTGACCTCAAAGATGCCATCCTCAATGGTGAGGATAGACACATCGAAAGTGCCACCACCAAGATCGAAGATAAGGACATTCCTCTCAGCACCAACCTGAAAAGAGGAATTAAGAGCATAAGTATTTGCATGTACATTAATTAATTGTATGACACTCAATTTCGCTCAGACATCCAAGGAAGGTGCTTGGGCCATCTTTGGTTTTACAACCTCTGGTGGAAACTACGAATGGCAAGGAATCAACTTCATCAAAAAACCTGAAAGATGCAAGTTTTTCAAACCTTTTTGTCCAGACCATAAGCAATAGCAGCAGCAGTTGGTTCATTGATGATACGCAGAACATTCAAGCCAGAGATGGTTCCAGCATCCTTGGTGGCCTGTCGCTGAGAATCGTTGAAGTAGGCAGGCACTGTGACGACAGCGTTGGAAACAGTCTGCAAAGAGTGCGCAAATTAGATCCCAACTGCTACTTGGAACTAAAGGCAACAATACATATAATAATAAACTACAGTATAGTGCATGTCGCTCAGACATCCAAGGAAGGTGCTTGGGCCATCTTTGGTTTTTCAACCTCTGGTGGAAACTACGAATGGCAAGGAATCAACTTCATCATAGCGAAGCACAAGTCAAATGGGAGTTCAATAGAGCTACCCCACAAACAGCTGAATGATCACTCACCTTTCCCAGGTAGGCCTCAGCAATTTCCTTCATCTTGGTGAGGACCATGGAGGAAATCTCTTCAGGGTAGAACGACTTGGTCTCACCCTTGTAATCAACCTGGACCTTGGGACGGGTATTGTCATTGATGACATTAAAAGGCCAGTGCTTCATGTCAGACTGAACAACACCATCATCAAACCTGCGGCCAATCAGACGTTTGGCATCTATTGGAGAACAAGAAAAAAAAAAAAAACCTTACAAGGTATATAGGGGTTAAGGGAAGAAAAAAAAAAAAAAAACTAATAAAGTCAGGATTTCGCTCAGACATCCAAGGAAGGTGCTTGGGCCATCTTTGGTTTTTCAACCTCTGGTGGAAACTACGAATGGCAAGGAATCAACTTCATCATAGCGAATCACTTTTGGAATGAAAATGAATCGCATTAAATAATCACTTACCAAAGACTGTGTTGGTGGGGTTCATGGCGACCTGGTTTTTTGCGGCATCTCCAATCAACCTCTCAGAATCTGTGAAAGCTACATAGCTTGGAGTGGTCCGGTTTCCTTGGTCATTAGCAATGATTTCAACTTTTCCATGTTGGAAAACACCTACACAGGAGTAGGTGGTCCCGAGATCAATACCAACAGCTGGTCCCTTGGACATTGTGTCTATATATAAAAAAAATAATGATAATTAAGGAAATTACATAATGATTTCAACGCTGTACACTGGCAAACAAAAGTAAAGGGATGCGTTCATTAACTAGCTAATACAGTTGTGAAACCACAGAACACCAAGCCCTGGAGCACATGCGGATATGCGTCAGACCACGTGGTTCGAGCTTCTAACGTTACAAGATTCTATGGTGAATTTAAAATCAGACTGATCAAAATTAGTCAAATTCAACTTTTATAAACTTTCCTGTTATTGTGCTAAACGTGTCCGTGTACATTTTGAAAAAAAGAAGACGATAAGCAGTATTGTGTGACCAAAGCAAAGCTGATCAACGCTTAAGGTTGGGTGAGGCGCGTGACAAGATCACGAGGTGCCGGTTGCGGTTTAGATTTAACCTATTGTTCTCTCGGGCATTTTGATTGTAGTGGCTATTATAAGAAACTTAATCTTTCAGAGTTCATCGAAAAAAACAAGTGAAAGCAAAAAAAGCGGTCTATGGAAGTGAAACAACTTTTAAAATTCAATAAAATAAATATGAATAACTGGAATCATTATGTAATGGTTCAGCACACCCGGAAAATATTCCACATGTATAAAAAAAAAAAAAAAAAAAAAATATTCAGCTCTTTGTAATTAATGAAGTAGTGATATACTACATGCAAGCAGAGAAGCAAATATTCAATATGAGATTATAAAGCCAATATAATCAAAAAAAGATAGAACAAATACCTTACCAAGTTGGAAATTACCGAGATGGGTGAAGACGCCGGTTGGATAGCTGGAATGGCGACAAACTGCTGCCTCGCCTTGCTTAGAAGAGAGAACGATCGAACGTTCCAGAACACTATATATTGCCGGTAGCCGAGCCAATGAAATTTCAGATGACTCAACTTCAGCCCGTAAGAACCAATGCAATACCGGAATGTTTCGTTTAGCCACGCCCACTATGGGAAGAACCAAGGATATAACTGGTTGAAAAAAATTCAAACCATCCCCCTCAAGTTTGCCGCAAACCGCTGTCAATGCGGAACACTCTGTCCTTTACATAGGAATGAAGTCAGCCTGCACATTCACTGGAAATGCGTCGATGATACAGCAAAACAGAAATGTTTGATGAAAATATATCAAACCGTCGCTTAGTAGATTACACCATGACAAGCACATACAAATTGAAAACAACAAATGTAGCTCAAACAGCTCAGTGACCTTGGTTTGGAACTGTAAGGTCTTGCCTAGTGAAAAATATCAGTCATTACTTGAAAGAAATACCATTAGTTATACAGATCGAGAATGTTCTAGGTATTTTACAATACGTATAAATCACGTTGAAATATAATGATTTAAAAATTTTATTAGATTAAGGTGATAATACTGCTCCAATGTGCATCATGAAGAGCTTTGTGTTGAAGCACGAGGAGCTTGTCACGCAGCCCCGGGGTGTACCGACGAAACATGCTATCAGATTGTGCTACCAAAAATATATTTTCATTGTTTTAAGGGTAAGGGTAGGTATGGACGGGTAGGGGTAGATATGGACACATGAATAAGATGCTGGTAGCACAATCTGATAGGTAGCATTTTTCGCTATCGATTTGTGCTACCTATCTTTTTAATGGGAGGTAGCACAATCTGAGCGGGTAGCACAAATCGTCAGAACACCGGCTGAAACCTTTGAGGCAGAGTATTATTATTATTATTATTATTATTATTTATCCTGCTAAAGGGGAAAGAGAGAAAAAAAACGAAATTTCTAAGTAAAGGAAAGGGAACGAACCAGGAAATAAACTATGATTGCACAAACGCCCAGCAGGGGGCGATACACACACAGAATACGAATCGCCAAAAAATAAGGAAGTAGAAAATGTGTCTACAGCATAATATGAAACGAAAGCCACTAAAGACAAAGGTCACATAGTAAGTGCTTTTCAGGCTTAAAAACGTTCATGTTTAAAGACCACATGCGCAGAGGAAGTGACATCCAAAAAGTGCGCTTGGTTTAAGTCTTATTTAACATTTTTATTTTTTCATGCCTTAGAAGATTCGTCAGGCATAACATCCACACGTTACATAAAATAGTTTATTTAATTTTCTGCACTATTTATAAAAAAAGGCACACTGACTTTTGAATATCAGAAGGCCAAACCTTGATAACAGGGCAAGCAGCAACCATTTCAGGTTAAAAAGACACATTTGTAATATAATGATGAAATATCATGGCAGTCGAGGGAACACTTCAAAGTCATTAAACTGTAAACACATTGCAATAAAGCACACATAATAAAATGCTTCTTTACATTCAGTAAAAAATAATGTAAACCAGCAGTGACTGAAATGTAAAAACAGTACATACAGTATATACAAAAATTGGTAGCTATATTCATCATCTTTTAGTGAGCACCATTGTTCATAACAGAACTGCAAAATCAGTTCAGTCTCTTATGAGGATTCAGAACCTGCTGAATTTTCCTCTAAAGTTCAGTCTCCTTGACACAAGCTCCGTCAAGTTTGTTAAAAGCTGCTGTTGTTGAACTGTCTTGTGTTTCAGTGATCACATCCACTGTAGCTACTGAAGTTGCTGTATTCTGTGGAGGTTCTTCCAATTTGTATTCTGTGAAATTTGAGTTCCAAAAGCCTAGACAGAAAATCAAGTGAAACACGAAATATCAATAGTTTGTAAAGACACAAAAGCTTATATGTTTGAACTACAAGATTAGGTGGTTTCAGCGGTTGTACCTTGTCTTCTCCTTTCCTGGGACTGCTTTTCTTCATGACTGGATTTTGATTTGCTGCTTTCCACAGACTGGTCTGGTTCTTCATTCTCTGTTATAACAACAGATTAAAATTAAAAATTGAATCCAGAATTAAATCTCAGCTAAACTCTAGAATATAATTGAAGCTTGATGTAAAGTATAAATATTTAACTAATCTTATATTACCTTTTTTCCAGGCTAAATGTGCCTTTTGCAGTCTGAACAAGAAGAAGATGACTACAATAAGCAAACATATAACAAGGCTTGTGACCAGCAGGATCAGCAGTGGTGAGCTTTCCTTTCGATCTTGTTTGCCAAAACCTGCAAATACACAAAGTAATACTGCAATCAGTAATTCATGTCCTTTACACGTTGCTTTGATTTTCATTTAGACATTTATGTGAGCGCAAGATAGAAATTAGTTTTGCTGGTTTGTTCATAAGCATTTTGTTTTTCATGAGCTTCACACCTTGTGAGTTAGTGTAATTTTTGGTCAGGAATTCATCAGGTGAATTTGAAGAGTTTATGTTGTGTGCTGAAATGCAAAGATAGATCTGAGATCAACTTCACCATATAAAATAAGCAAGATTAATTATATTTTATGTTCCGTATATTATGTTAAATATTAAACAATGACATTTTAAAACACTTACTTGTCAAGCTTATATTGGTTGCTGTGGAATGTTCCTCTACTAAAAGAGATCACAAAGCAAATCAGCGAACAAACACTGAAAGTGTCTTATAAAAACACATACTAACTTTTAGGTGAAATGGAAATATTGGAAATGAGTATTTGATCATGCATATTCGCATATTTATACCTTGTATGCTGTTTGAGGTAGTGCTGTCTCTTGTTGGGAGCACTTCAGTACTTTCTGAAATTGATGACAGTTCCACATGTGCTGTAATCAGATGGTGTATTTGTTAAACAGTTGCTGAGATATCAGAGATAAGCAGAATGCTCAAATGAAAAAAAAACTCAAATGCCTTGAAACGACTGTGTGCAGTATTCAAAATCTACCAGAAGATGGAGGCAGAGAGATACAAGGAGCAAAAGCAATTTCCATTCTGTGGTTTTATGTGAAACCATTGCACAAAAGGGGATTCTGCGTTCGTTTTTATGTAAGCTACATTTAAAATATTCTGTCATTATCAGACTCTTTTGAGATAGCTAGTTTATTTAGTGTAATTGGTGCGGCCATTAAGAAATGAAATGACCTATACTAAGACATGAAATGAAGAGAAACACCCACCTGTACTGCTAATGACAGGAGCAGAAGTGGCTGTGACCATTACATCAGGTTTTAGCTCATCTCTAGTACTGGAGTACCTTGTCGTGGAGGCCGTAACAGCTATGCAAAAGTACAATAAAAACATTTAATTACTCCGAAATCCCATCAGAAAATGGTTTGACTGTTTACTTGTAAGAATCTGGCTTAGTGTTTGTTATAAATATTTAGTGCATCTGTTCTGGATGGGGAACACAGTTGTTTTGTTCAAAGAAATAGTTTCCCTGACATCATGTGACTGACCACTCTAACGTGAACCACACATTCACTTAAATAGGAAACTACCAAATACTCTGAAGTGTAGATGAACTTTCCCTGTGCAGCACAGCCAAACAAAATCCCCAAATCTTTCAGTTCCCCTTTCTAATACTGGCTAATGTCTTTTATGGCGAATTGCCACTGTTTTTGGTCACATGCTTGGAACATCAGTGGTGGTGTTGGTGAGGTTAGTTCAACTATCAATTCTAGTTAGTGGTCTCTGCTATTCCTGCAGTTGGTTATATGTAGCCTACCATTTGTGTCTACTTACAGTGATTTTCAATAATGACGAAATTTATCAGTTGTTTTGGGAGAGCTGTATGTTTTGCCAGGCACATCACCGTTGCTTTCCTGATATGAGTTTTGACTGTTAAGAGGCTAATTGCCAGTGACCTGTTGGATCTTTCCTCCCGCAAGGTATTGGGTAGAGCTGTTAGGACAAAACAGAGTGCATATATTCAGTAATCTATGATTTATTATTCAAATAGTCTGAGAAACACCCTAGATTTACTATTGATAGTACTATTGTTTGCATTTGTCCTTAGCTGACCTATTTCAGAATATTGTGGTTCCTCTATTTTCACGAGGTATTCGTTTCTCAGTGATAGAAATGTCAGAAGTCATGGGAATTTTGTTTGCACAGTATGTCTTTCAGTAATATTTTTTAATTTTTGAAAGTCATAGTCACCAAGCGTTTATCTGATCAAAAATCTTACTGACTCCAAAATCTCTCTCTCTCTCTCTCTCACACACACACACACACACACACACACACACACACGTGTGTGTGTGTGTGTGTGTAGGTATGTGTGTAAGTATGTGTGTACACCTGTCTGCCCCCCTAACTGTCTGCCTACTCTGACACTTCTCGTAACTTACCTTCGATTTCAACCCCACTGATTTGCCAAGAGAGCACAGGTGGGTGGCCATTCGCTGCCGCTGAACACTTGATGATTGTTTTATCTTTATACTCTGCCATTTCTATTTTTGGAATTTCTGTGATCCAAACAAAAAGAGTTTAATTTCATATTTAATAGTCATATTTGATGCATGTTTTTGGAAAAGATGAGAAGTAAATATACTTACCTAATACTTTTACTTTAAATCTTTTTGAAATGACTTTATTGTCATACAGTAGACATCTGTAAAGCCCTTCATCTTTTAAGGTAACTTTAGACATGTGTAATGTATATTCAGAGCTGCTTAAATGAAAAATGCTGCTCCTTGAGTCTCTTAGAGCTGTAGGGGAACGTGAAATACAGTTTTAATGTTTATGAGATACAATAAAGAGGAAATGTAAATGTGTTTGAAATACATTCTTCAATATACAGTGTTCACGCCCTCACCTTTTTCATTGTTAAAGAACAAAAGATGGCCTTGTGGATTTCTCCACTCCATGTGTCCATTCTCACTGAAGTTTTTTCGAGGGCATCTCAATACCAGCGTTTCTCCTTCTGCCACTGTAAGATACTTTGTTGCCAGACATTTTCTTATGCCTGTTCAGAATGAAGAGAAGTAAGTCAGTATCATCATGTTTTAAACAAAGCTTCTTACATAATTGGCATTCCTCTTTGAATCAAACAACCTAAAACAGTAATGAATGCTAAATGCAGTCAATAGGCTAGTTGAATGGAAGAACAGTAGGTTGATAGGGGGCAGATAAGACCACAGACACCCTACGCTCTGCTACGACTCATTTGTGTTTTCTTGCCGCTTTTAGGAGCTGCGGCTGAAAGTGAGAGGGGGCCATACTTTGCAATAGAGAGAAAAAGTGACTGCTGTCAGTGGTCTTTTATTTTCTTGTGTGGTTCGTTCTTGCAGCGAGAGAAAACTTGCCACTGTCACACATAAAGCGACATTCTCGTGCTGGAACAGGAAACAGTGGTCTTAAAATGTTACTCACAGATGTGTACACATATAAACAGATGTAGTTCTAAATCCGGCTACATGGAGGTGTGATTTTTTTAGTCATATGTAAAAAAACAGTAACAGTAGTACAGTAAAGCTCTTACAGTGCAATGCTTAATTTTATTCAGTTGATTTGTTTTTCTGTTATTCACCTTTGAATTTAATTTAATAGAATAATTAATTAATTTTGAAATATGTGCAATATATTCACTGATACTGTCTTTCCTTATTTAGGACAATTATTGAAAAGCTTCACGTCCTCTGCTGTGTTGATACTATATGCATCTTTGCAAGAATATTTTCCTGTTTCTATAACAACACGGTGAGCTAACTTACACTGAAAAAAAATGGTAACCTAAAAATGGTAACAACTAAATTAACTGGTCTTATTAAAGCCAAAACGGTTATTAATATTGCTGAATCAACCTAAATACATTCATTTATGCCAACAAAACTACATTTTATAAGTTGAATAAGGTATAAATAGCTCTCTGAAGGAACAATTGCAGGTTACCACTTTAGTTTATGCACAGCGTATAAACTAAAGTTATATCATTCAACCAATCCAATAAGAATGACAAAATGAGTTGAAAAAAAAAAGTTCAAATCATGTAAAAATCTATCATATGCCATCATACGATAAAGCATTTAATGCACTGACATACAACTGAAACCTTCTCTTACGATGTAACCTACCCAAACATAACTACCCATGCAAACTACCTAAAGGTATCAGGTAAATATGATCACAAACTAGTCAACCACAACGCTACTTTAAAAGTCAGAGATGTAGCCTAAACCAATGTAAATAAGAAATAAGTTTGTCTTACCTCCTACGATCAACATCAAAGTGTGAGTAACTAAGACTGTTTTGATCTCCATACTGCAGCTCTTTAACTCTGAAGCTCACTTCCTCTGCTTAGACTCTTTTAAAGAGAGCGGCTTCCATGACATCATGAAATGTCACGGTCTTTTCCCCTGTGCGACTTTATGTGTGAAGTTTCAGGGGCATTTCGGCCGGTCACTGGTTCTCTTTTAGCAAAATTACACTCACCCCCTTTTGACCTTTTGAAGTTCTTTAAGTTATTAAGTTCTTCTTAAGTTATTAAGTAATTCAGACTTCAGTTCTGACTGGCGTCAGTTTTCTTAATAATTCCACAGTATATAAATGCTGTATATAATATAATATAATATAATATAATATAATATAATAAATTCTTTAAATTATAAAACTATATGTTTATAATGCATTAAATTATAAGACTATAAGTTTCTTTCAAAAACTTACATTTTAACATAGGCAGTTTCAAATGTCTACTGAAGTTTCGATGTAATAACTCCCCTCCTACAGTTGATAAATAAAAAAACCTTCTTCCAGTTGTGATGAATCATCTAGTATCTAATTTAACCCTGGAAATAAGGATTTCTAAGAATTTTTACATAAAAAACAAAAAACAAAGAAACCATTCTATTTACTGATATTATTTTTATATTTATTTCTGTTTAATTCTGTAGATTTCTTCTCTAAATCCTGTAATTCGATATTTATGTCAAGAAACAATCAAGAATTTATAGGTGTCCATTAACCATGATTAACCATCTAATGGTGTTCTATTGACAATTAAAAAATATTTTTAGCATCTCTACGACAGCACCCATGGCAGCGTCACCAAAAGTGTCATCACTGTCTGGTATGATTACACAAAAATGCTAAACAACTCGGCAGGAACAGGAAGGTCTTTATTAGGTGTGTGAGGGAAAAAAATCACATGATCAAATTTCACACTACCCACTGACCACTTCAACTGTGTGGGCAAAAAAAAAAAAAAAAAAAAACTTCCCCATTTTGAAACAAGTTTACATGCATGTAAACGTCAGACAGGCAGCAATGTAGCTAACACAATTGAGTATTAATACAGATGTTACTGTGTAATGTGTTCATTTCGGTCTTTTCATTAGGTATATTATAAAGCATATTCTAGCCTATTTTATTATAGTCAGTAGTTTTGTTCTGGCACCAAGGGCCAGTTTACACAATGCTAGTTTATTATGAGTAAAATATAAAGCTGTGATATTTTCTGGCTAGGACATGCCATCAAGGACAATGTATGATACATGTCATATTAGTCAACTGCAGTGAATGAGATGCTGAAGGCCAAGAAGATTCTCATAGCTTACCACAAGTTTCAAATTAAGTTTCTTCGCAGGAATTATGTGGTCAGAACAATTGTAAAATCTTTATTTGACCCTCTAACTCTAGCACTCTCTATTCTAATTCTATTCTTTATATAAAAAAAAAAAAAAAAAAAACTTCCCCATTTTGATACACAACCTAAATAGAGTTCACGTCAGACAGGCAGCAATGTAGCTAACACAATTGAGTATTAATACAGATGTTACTGTGTAATGTGTTCATTTCGGTCTTTTCATTAGGTATATTATAAAGCATATTCTAGCCTATTTTATTATAGTCAGTAGTTTTGTTCTGGCACCAAGGGCCAGTTTACACAATGCTAGTTTATTATGAGTAAAATATAAAGCTGTGATATTTTCTGGCTAGGACATGCCATCAAGGACAATGTATGATACATGTCATATTAGTCAACTGCAGTGAATGAGATGCTGAAGGCCAAGAAGATTCTCATAGCTTACCACAAGTTTCAAATTAAGTTTCTTCGCAGGAATTATGTGGTCAGAACAATTGTAAAATCCTGAAAGCCTTGTTTTAATAAATGTCTGATGTGATTGTTTACATTGTGGCTGGGTTGTTACCACTGATCTATAATAGAGAACATTATAAGTAGATCAGTGGTTGTTACCAAGAATGTGTGTATTAACAGCGTTTAGAAGTCAACTCAAGCTGAGGGAGCGCCATCTAGTGGCTGCTGATTCGAAACAAACGATGACAGATAATTACTTCAAATATTTCACATATTATGGTTAAAGTTTTTGTCAAATAGTTATTTTGAGTATGCGAATGCATAGGCCTACTGTATGCATTGTATGCTGTATATATAGGGAACTGTACAAAAAAATGGCATATATGAGGTTGATACCGCCATTATGTTTAACTTACTCGCTACTGTTGTTCAGTTACCGTTGTTGCTGTACTGTATTTGCATGTATTATAAATATAGGCATATTAAACGAGATACACGAAACGAAGAAACCTAACGCAAAAAAAAGCATCTTGATGCACTAATCAGATGTTTAGTCGAGACTTTTATTTTGACAGGTTTTGCGAATCTGATCTGACCCGGTGATGATTCAAGCGCACATGAGCATATTACACAAAAAAATGTGCGAAAACAGCTGGAAACTTCTAGCAGAACGCCACTCATTAATAACTAACCACTCCTACCAGTAAACCAGAGAGTGTAAATACTTTTAACCTACAGTACCTGACAGGATGTCTGTTATTGAGGAGGAACGAGTCCGCGGTGGTGTTTTTAAGGACATTAATGCAGAAGATGAAGATCAGCAACCTACAGTGATCGAGAGTTTGTGCATGAACTGTTATGAAAATGTAAATGTCCAGATTATTATTATTAAAGTAATACATATATTTTTCTAAACTAGTAAAAAATGTCAATGTTATGTTTTGTCCAGGGAAGCACACGTCTACTGCTTACTAAGATCCCTTTCTTCAAAGAAATCATCATCAGCTCTTTCACATGTCCACACTGTAACTGGACCAACACAGAAATCCAGTCTGCTGGTCGGATACAAGAACAGGGTGTGCTGTACACCTTACAAGTGAAGACCAAAGAGGTATGCATCTCCTGTTAAAGTGTGTTAGATATTTATTATCTGATCATTTATGTCATGTTGCCACATTTGAAGTTGCTCTCAGGAATAAGCAAAGCAAATCGTTTTTCGTTTGTGCAGGACATGAACCGAGAGGTTGTGAAGTCCGACAGTGCGTCCACCAGAATTCCACAACTTGATTTTGAAATTCCTGCTTTCACACAGAACGGCTGTAAGTTTTTCCCTTTTGACCTCTAACTGAAGTAGAAGTCTGTTGAATCTTCAGAATAATATTTTGGAAAGTTCCAGTTTAATAAAATGCAGTTTGATCAATAATTTTGTCTTCTTTCTGATTGTTCAGCTTTGTCAACAATCGAGGGCCTTCTGGACAGAGCAGTGGCGGGTTTAGAACAAGACCAACCTATTAGAAAGGTGTGTGTTTTATTTGTGAATGAGTTTCACAAATTTGAGATCAATTGTGTTACGACAGAAACCCATCATTTATGTTGCAAGAGCATACATTATATAGGTATATTGGTCAAAGACGAGTTCCATTTTGGTGTATCTATCAAATTAAATTTACAAAAGTGATTTTATATACACCGAAAGCATAGTAAATCCAAGTACAGTGTCTGCTTTAATGTTTCAAATAACTTTTTTTGAAAATAAAATATCAAAACATGGGTGAAATAATAGGTGTGAAGGATTTGTTATGCGAAGAGTACTGTTTATGTGACTCTGTTTCTTTCTACATTTCAGGCAACAGATCCAGTTGTAGCTGAAAAAATAGAGGAATTCATCCAGAGGTTCAAAAAACTTAAAGAAGTAGAAGAGGAATTCACATTAGTATGTCTTGCAGATAGTAAACTGCAGAAAGATTCAATGCAACTGACAAAAGATTAAACACTGTTGCTAGTTTATTATCATCAAGTTAGAACTAACGAATAACTAATTTGATTTCTATCAACAGATTATTGATGATTCATCAGGGAACAGTTTTATTGAGAATCCATTTGCGCCTGAGAAAGACATGGCTCTCACTGTCACACATTACAAAAGGACGCCTGAACACAACGCTGCACTAGGAATAGAGGTTAGAAGCTGCTACAGCATCTGCTGTTGACTTCAGCTGTGTGTGAAAAACGGCAAGATCTCAGTTTCTTCAACTTCTTTCATCTCTTTTTAAAGGTAGAGGAAGAAGAAAATGACGAAAAGCCTGGCAGTGATCTAGATACAATGAGAAATGAGGTATTAGTGTTCAACACTAACTGCCCAGAATGCAACGCCCCAGCCAATACAAACATGAAGCTTGTTCGTATCCTTTAAAGTATACTAGAAAATTACATACATTTTCAGATGATTCTTTATGTGGTAAATTGCTAAACAAAATTAAATGGAGGCTTTCCATGTAGGTTTTTTTTATTTTTTTATATATATCCTCCTTTACCAGTTTATTTTAATTTAGAGAAATTTGTTGTATTCGATGGTTCCAAGCAAGCGATTTGCAGGTGTGGCTAAAATTTAGTGGTAAATTTGGTATGATATTCTTTTGTGGAAATAACAGTGTATAAAAATGCTGCATAGAGAAATGGTACGTCAAAATAGTCTAGCTGTTGTGCATCATAATTTAACCCAACTGCAGAAATCCAACACTTTAAAGAGGTCATTATAATGGCCACTAATTGTGACAGCTGCAGACATCGCACCAATGAGGTGGGAATAATGAACTATACTTCAGAATTATACTTCTGTTTAGTTTACTTATATATACTTCTTTTGCTGTTTCCCTGTCATATATTGTTTTTGAATGACATTAAATAGGTGAAATCTGGAGGAGCCACAGAAGAGCTGGGAACCAGAATAACACTCCACTTAACTGACCCTTCAGATATGTCCAGAGACCTGCTGAAGGTGGATTCATCTCACAACAACTTTGAGAGACACTATGTGAACATCTTTTACATTTTATTGTCATAACTATCGTCATTAATATATGTATGTGTGTTTCAGTCAGAGACGTGTAGCGTGTTAATTCCTGAGCTGGAGTTTGAGTTGGGGATGGCAGCTCTCGGAGGGAAGTTCACTACGCTGGAAGGACTTCTCAAGGACATCAAAGATCTGGTAGGAATCAAAGCCCAGCTAACAATGTTTGTTGTTATCAACAAACAGCTCCTTTTATGCTTATTTTATGCTTTTATGCTTATTTTAGATTGTTTCAAAAAAACCCTTCATGTGTGGAGACAGCTCTACAGCAGATAGAGCCGAGAAACTGGAACTCTTTGGGCAAAAGATTGACAAGGTTTGAAATATATTACATTTCTGTTAATGTTCCTCGCTGTTAAAAGCAATGACAATATTCTCAATATGATGTCTAAAAAAGGAGCTTGCTTTATCATTTTTGAAAAAAAATATAGAATTACTGAAAAAATAAATATGTAAATAGTTTATATAATTTGTTTGTAATAGATTATATAAATATTATTATATAAATAGAATTAGTCATTTATACAATTACAAAAAGTTTCTTCTTTGAATATTTCATATATATGCATATACATTTTTTAAATACTTTATATTTTTTTTCTGGAGTCTTAATGCATTGTATTTACAAAATGTTTCTTAGATAATAGCAGGGGAAATGGATGTGCACATTATCCTGGATGATCCTGCAGGAAATAGTTATCTTCAGGTGAGCTAGGAGCAACATTTTTTTATTATTTTTTTTATTTTTTATTTAAAGGATCTTATTATAATATCTCATGGTTAAGTGTAGGATTTATTGTTTTGAATCTGTTTGATTTCAGAATCAGAATCAGAATCAGAATGAGCTTTATTGCCAGGTATGTTTACACATACGAGGAATTTGTTTTAAATATATTTTAAAATATGTATGTTTTAATTTTTCTCTGAAGGCTAACCATTCACACCTTTTTGCAGAATGTTTATGCGCCAGATCCAGATCCAGAAATGAAGATTGAGAAGTACACCAGGACCTTTGAGCAGAACGAAGACTTGGGGCTGAATGACATGAAAACAGAAGGGTATGCAGAGAAATAGGCTTAAAGTTAGAGAAAAATGGAGATTATATCTTGTTATATGCCAAATTCTGTCAAAACCATTATATAGCATTATTTAATTCACTTTTACATTTATTGTAATATCTCATGTAATTAGCACTTCTGAAAACCATAATGTCTTTTAAAGGCAGCGTTATGATTTGATATTATTTTTGCTTGAATAAGTGTAAGGTGCTGAATTTTCCTTGCTGTCTGTGACAATTTTTAAGTTATAAGTTTTGGTCATCTTGGCTATGAAGCTCTTGTGTTAATTACCAGTATAACAACAGAATTGTTAGAAAGTTTTTGAAGTACTTAAAACTACAGACACTTAATAAAGTAGTCTTAAGCACACTGGATGTGAATTCTTTGGACGCATTTTCATTTTCATGTAATTAGACTGACTCATAAAGGCTGTAATATAATAAGTTATGTTTGTACAATAAAACGGTATGGTATAAGTATGGTGCTGATCTGTACACTTTGAGTTCAGTGAGATATCTAATTAACAATGGCTTCAGCATGACATCAAACCCGAATGCAACTTATAATAGATTTTATGACCATATTGGAACATGCAGTTACACTGCTGACGATGCATTCGGTTTCAATTATCTGGCTCTTTAGTGTACATTGTGTTTTTCTAATTAGTCAATTATTTATTCTTTATTATTGTTAATACTGATAAATGGCACCATTTGGTGAGTGTCAGAAAAATAGCTCCCAACAAAGCCATTACAGCACAGTCCTTTACCAGCGAACAAGTGTTCACAGGGCATTGTTTGCATACCTGTTTACTGCCATTCATTCTCAAGTGATCAATGAATAAAAAAAGACATGTAAATTTGCATAAATATGTAAATGACATTCTGCTTTTTTTGGCACAATAATGACTCATTTGCTCTGCATATTGGTTATTAAAATTATGTAAATGTAACGGATTCTATAGAGTAGAATCAGTTATATATTTTATTTGTAAGTAAATATTACTAACTCAGTGTGTGACATGGCATGTCTGATGTCAGCATGGTGGTGGCAATGAGAGGGGACCCCTTCATGTACACTAACTTCTGTCTAAATATTCAGCTCATAAATTTGCCATTTTAATGAACTTTCTATTTTTAGAAAGGAAGCAATATTCATTTCTTAATGTAAAAAATACAAAGTGCTCCTTAAATGTAGCACACTTCAAACGCTTCTAATTAGAGCTTCTCTTTTAGACCATTCAAGTCATGCAACTTCGAGAAAAACAATGAATCACGGGTTCTTTGAGCCTTCCACTGGCACTTAACATTTATTGAAAGTTGAACAGCAGATAAAAGGACATGACTTGCATGTAATTTGAAGCAGTGACAAATGTAACCAGCATTGGTCCATATACGATGGAATACTTATGTTCATTCACCACACAAATGGAGCCCCCCCCCCTTCTTTCTCAGTAAGGATAGTCCACCGTGATGGCAGGTTAAATGTCCCATGGCCATTTATAGCCAGTGGTGGTGTAGATCTCGTGTGAGGGAGTGCGTCTGTCCAATAGAGCAATTATCAACACCAAAAAAAAAAAAATCAAAGTTTACAAGATGCAGCTGTCATCTTCATTAAAACATACACAATATAAGCTGAAGTAGAAAACATAACATTACTTGGACTCAAACTAGCGGAGCTGCGTTTGTGTCATTGTCCATGATCGCAAAGCCTCGTTATTTGCTCTTGGCTTGCTTCTCGGTTTTCTTGGGCAGCAGCACTGCCTGGATGTTTGGAAGTACTCCGCCCTGGGCGATGGTAACACCGCCTAAAAGCTTGTTGAGCTCTTCGTCGTTGCGGACAGCCAGCTGCAGGTGACGGGGGATGATTCTTGTTTTCTTGTTGTCTCGGGCTGCGTTCCCTGCCAGCTCGAGGATCTCAGCCGTTAGGTATTCCAGGACAGCGGCCAAATACACGGGGGCTCCTGCGCCTACGCGCTCGGCGTAATTTCCCTTGCGTAATAATCTGTGTACACGTCCGACTGGAAATTGAAGTCCAGCTCTGGATGAACGAGACTTGGCTTTTGCGCGGGCCTTCCCACCGGTTTTACCTCTTCCAGACATGTTTTGACAACAAAGGAACCGCCTGTTTGGTTAGTAGTAGCGTCCCGTTTAGTGAGGCTAGTCAAATGTACTTTCGTTTATGAGGTAAGCAGGGATTGGTATTTATACCCGGACGTGTGCTCTGACTGGATGGTTTCACTCTAAAACAAGCAACCAATCGCCGCTCAAAATTTAGTCCATGACGTTAGAAAGTCATCCTATCAAAACCGAGACTGCTCGCGCTAATTTGCATGCCGACTCTATAAATAAGAGGCTAAATGTACGCAGCAAGTTCGCATACCGTAAAGATCCTGTGACAGCTGAGCTTTTGTGAAAAACCGACACAATGCCTGACCCTGCGAAATCAGCACCCGCTCCCAAAAAGGGGTCTAAAAAAGCTGTCACCAAGACCCAGAAGAAGGGGGATAAGAAAAGGCGTAAAACCAGGAAAGAGAGTTATGCAATTTACGTGTACAAAGTACTGAAACAAGTCCATCCGGACACTGGTATCTCCTCAAAGGCGATGGGCATTATGAATTCGTTCGTAAACGACATCTTCGAGCGCATCGCCGGAGAAGCCTCGCGCCTGGCGCATTACAACAAGCGCTCCACTATCACATCCCGGGAGATCCAGACGGCCGTGCGCCTGCTCCTGCCGGGAGAGCTTGCCAAACACGCCGTGTCTGAGGGCACAAAGGCCGTGACCAAATACACAAGCTCCAAGTGAAAGTGAACAAACAAGACGGACTGGAATCTATCTCTAATGATGGAAGACGAAAACCATCCACTGTTGTTTGATATCCGCATGAGGGACCTCTGGTACATCTTGATAAAACGCAGCTCTGGAAGAGCACAGACACAGTGCTTTCCATATGTAACACCAACATTCACCTGAGGCTGTTCCTGTTTGATCGTATTTGCACGTGTGAACACTTGTACTGTACTATTATGGCATATGGTCGTCATTTGTTAACTCCTGTGGCTGTAAACTCAAGTTACCAGAGGGAAACACTGTGGCTTTGGGTTTTATTGATTTCTTGTTGACAAACAAGGCTGTACTGTATTCATACTGAAAAATGTCTTATGCCTTAATGTTTCTTTATAACTACCCTGTCATTTACCATAAATAAATACATTGGTTAATGGTAACTACAAGCAGATTTGCGAGTTTTCCTGCCTGGTAATGTGTAGTTTATTACTATGACATAAATTGCGCCATAAACGAAAGTGGCGACATAAAGCCGAATATTTATTACGAAAAAGGCGCTTTTATTACAGCACTATTTATTCGAAGTATGCTTTCGTTTAAAATGCGTTTTTAAACGACGTTGCAGTATCTACGAAAGTTTATAAGAGCGCTAATAAGACGCTTAATTGGCTTGCGAGCAGAACTCGCCCGAGGAGGTAACCATAGCAACAGGAAGGAAGGCTGCTCGAGTATTGGAGGATACATGAACAAAACAAGCATTCATTATTCATTATTTATGACTTTATTATAGATTTACCCATCAAACATAAAAGAAAACAATAGTGTTTCATTTAAAACGTCTTTATAATGTCTGTTGGATAACTGAGGCAGCAAAACACCGATTAGTCAGGTAATTCACATAGCCTACTGTATGAAATGAATGTTTTAAATATGGATTTATGCTCCTCTGATCCACCTTTGAATTAGGGACTGAGGTGGGTCAGTGCTGGCATATTTTAGTGTTATGCAGCATTGCATTTTTACAAACAACTTTATAGAGGCACAGAGCCACTTCAGAGCAGATTTAACTCAGAAAACCTATGAAAATTAATCATGGTTTTACTACAAATAAAACCAAAAACTTTGGTAACCATGGTAAACACAAATTAACAATGGTTTTGCTACACTAACCATAGTTTAACCATGGTATTTGTAGTAAAACTGTGGTTATACAAATGGTAATCAATACGCCAAAAAACATGGTTACTATAAAACCACAGTTAATTTTCGTAAGGGATTACTTTAAAGCAGATGACTTAAAAGTACTAATGAGGAAATCTCAGGTTACATTGAAATCAGGACATTTGTACACTTTATTGTATGATTTGTTCCCTGTGATTTCATCCAGCTTGTGTTACTGGGACATATAATGGAGGGAGATGATTTGATCATGACACCCCTGCAGGCAGAGAGAGAATGCTGAGAATAATCCACATGATCATGTTTTGACATTTGGCCTTGAATAAATGCATATGGCGCACATCAAGTAACCACAATGGGTAAATTACTTGAGGAATTTAATTACCTATGCATATTTTCATGATATTATTTTGCAAATGACAATTCAGTGAATCTGAATAGATGAGTGAATAGATCGGTGGTTTACCATAACCGCCATGGCATTAACCAGGAGTCTTTGAAGTTCCTGCAGATGTAGGATATTTATATATCGGAATACTATATATTGTATTAGGGCCCAGGTTGGCTGGTCCAGAAGATTAAAAATGAAACAATGTGAGTAAGGAACCAGATAGTCAGATGGCCAGTGTCTTAGAAGATCACAGCAAAATCCCCAGAGTTAAATCAACTCTGCTCAGAGTACATATTGTCCCAATCTACAGAGTGTTAAAGTAACACTGAAGCCGAGTTAAAGTTAATGGGATAATTAAGCAATTAATTAATTGATGAGTGAGCATTAGTAAAGAAAACCTGCTGTTAACAATGTTGAAGATGAACAACTACTGCTCAGGCTTTTAGACATGAAAACGTATCACATAATCCTCAACAGTGGTAACTCTGCTTCAGTGTTACTTTAACACTCTGTAGATTGGGACAATATGTACTCTGAGCAGAGTTGATTTAACTCTGGGGATTTTGCTGTATACGTTGTTCCTTTCACGTGTAGTTTTAAGAGGGGCTCTCTTTGTTGAAATAACACTCTGACGATGGCAGGCTTTGTCTGAAAGGGTGTGAAATCTATTTCTAAAAAACGATGATGTGACGAGAACTTTTCTCACGAAGACTGCATACCTGAAACCACATACACTAAAAAGGGATATTGAGAGTGTGTGTGTGCGCGTGTATTTTATGAAAAATAATATGAATAGGTTAGACAACTAACACTGCTTTTATTATCGGTTTAAAGGGGTCATATGATGCGATTTCAATTTTTCCTTTCTCTTTGGAGTGTTACAAGCTCTTGGTGCATAAAGAAGATCTGTAAAGTTGCAAAGACTAAAGTCTCAAATCCAAAGAGATATTCTTTATAAAAGTTGAGTCAGCCACGCCTACCTAAAACGGCTCGTTCTAACACACCCCACATGTCTACGTCACGATGTGAGAAGATTTGCATAACGCCGCCCAAACGTTCACGCAAAGAAAGAAGGCGTAACTTAAAAATATTTGGCTGCACAACTGTTGATAATTCTAATAATAAATCAGCATATTAGAATGATTTGGGCATAGGGGAGAAACAATAATGTACAGTATGTGGAAAATAATGTGTTTTTTGAACCTTAAACCGCATAAACACATTTCATTACACCAAATACACAAAATAATGTTCTTTTTAGCAACATCATATGACCCCTTTAAGGAAGGTATTATGAATACAATAGTTCAGAGTTCTGAAATTACAATACAGGTTATTTACTTTTTGGACCGGATTTTATCATCCTTTTGTGAAAATAAGAAGATGCGTATATAATTATTCTCAACCAGTTATTTACTGTATTATTTTTTTTCTATAATACAAATATATAATTTTTATATTAATTTTATTATATAAATGTAATTTATAACAAGGCATTTTTTCAACAAATGAACCATAAATCTGTTAGAATAGTCCTAAAATATAGACTTTATTAGTGTGACATAATGTGTCATTAGAATAGACCATGTGTTTCATTAAGTCCTGTTTTATAACTTGACCATCTTTTGTCTTGAAGAGGACATATTTGTTGCATATCGCTTTGTTATAATAGCACAGTTAAGTGCAGCCTGATACACAGTGATATAATGCATTTATAGAAAATAACTGTGCTATATGAGCAGCAAGATTCTCCTAGTATTCCAGACATGTTACCTGATACTGAACTTACACTGATCTTCTTAAAGCTCCTCGTGTTCCTCCTCTGACGTCCCTTATTTCTCATAACCCCCTGTCGTGTTTCTGGTGCCCTCCCTCACACCTATAGATAGAAAGAGGCCTGTATAAATAGCTATATCATCATAAACACAGAGAGACAAACAACAAAAAGAGAGAAGGTGAACAAGGTAATACATGATTTAAGTTCTAAGTCCTAATATTGATGTTATTTATTTATTTTGTTTGTTTATTTGTTTAGGGTTTTCTTTATTCTGAAATTGTGTAAAATTTTATTTAGATACGTATTTGCATTTATTATATGTGCTTTATCTTTTTTAATTAAAAAAATATTTGTATTTAATCTATATCTATCATAAAATTAATTGAATTTGTAATATACACTATATACATATACACACACACACACACACACACACACACACACACATATATATTACAGAGCTGGGTAGTAACTGACTACATGTAATCTGGATTACTTAATCAGATTCCAAAAATTAAGTACTTGTTATTAGATTGTTACATTTTAAAATTAAAAAAAAATAATTGTCAGCCGAATCTCGTTTACCTAATATATTTATTTGAAGTCCCCCTGAGATTTTAAGGTAATAAATTAATAATTTAGTATCACATTCACAAGTTCACGGATCTCTGACTTGGTTAATGGTCACATGACATGCAGGTAAACATGATATTGTTAGTGTTTTATTTTGATTGTTGTTATTTTAAAATTATTTATTTTAATTTTACATTTTTAATGATTTAATTATTAGCTTTTCATTAAACTCACAAACCCCCCCTGCAGTTCCTTTACAATCCCCAGTTTAAGAAATCTTGACATAACATAATGTTTAGTGCCCTTCATAATGTTAATAACAAGAAATGTAATATATATATATATATATATATATATATATATATTTGCATATTTATATCAATATGGTACAAGATTATCCTATTTAAATCAATATGTTAAACGAGTTAGGTCAAAAGTAATCTAAAAGTATTCAAAAATGTAGTCTATATATATATCACACTATCTACACTATTTAATATATGTATTTTTTTATGTTGTTTAAAACAGGAGTCAGATGTTCTTTGTTGGCGCTCTCCTTCATCAAAATCAAAAACGTGTGACCAGTGATATTAGGCTCATTTGAATTGCTACATTCAGTACTTGTTGGTGACACCTGAACACAGAACAGAAAACCTGTTGCGTGATTCAATTGTAAGTAGTTGTTTTTGCTTTTAAAATCTGTTTTTGAGTGAATCGAGGTCAAGGTGATAATGTGATGTGTGGGATTTTCCCTGCAGCCAGAGCATCATGTGGCCAGCCCTCCTAGTGTGTCAGCTCGTCCTGATTCTCCAGTCAGAGGCTCAGAGTCCCTGCCTCACCCACCCAACATTCAGAGACCCGGGTCAGTCAAAGCATACATGTATCCTCTCCTCTTCTCCTCTTCCTCTTTGTACATCCTTAATTCTCTCATCACTATCTCACCTTTCATTTCCTTTGGAACCACAAAGGAAATCGAGACCACCCAGCAATTTGAGGAGTGTTTTCTTAAACATGCAGTATTCATTTAATTATGTGTCTTCCTTTTAGTTATGGTTCATGTGGTTTTAAATGTCCTAGCAGCATAAAGAGCATCATATATTTCCATTCCAAAGATGTGCAAACAATAAACAGCATAAGAGCTTGCTGTGACAACTGTTTTCTTTCTTTCTTTTTTTATTTTAATTTTTTTTTACAGACAGCTCTGATATTACAGTTGTGTGTGGCACAAACAGGATGGATTTGCAGATTTTGCTGTGCCCCATGTACTTCTATGGATACAATGAATCCATGGTGGCTCTTAATAGTCAGTTTGGCAAACCTGAGTGCAGAGGAACCGCTGACTGGACCGTCGACCCACCTGTAGTGAAATTCCAGTTCTACATCACTGAACCATACATATCTGTCTGCTCCAATAAGCTGACGGTATGAGACATTTTACAGCATATGTAATAAAAATAATAGTTGTTATAATACATAATAATACATTTATACAATAATACATAATTTTATTATAAAGTCATATATATATATATATACAGTATATATACTACCCGGTCAAAGGTTTGGGATCAGAACGATTTTTTATGTTTTTTACAGGAGTTTCTTGTGCTCATCAAGGCTGCATTTATTTGATAAAAAATACAGGGAAAAAATTTAATATTGTGAAATATTATTATGATGTAAAATAATGTTTTTCTATTTAAAATAGAAACCATTATTTTAAATGTATATTTGGTAAATTAATATTAATTGTATTTGTTATTAAATTAGTTACTTTTATGGGGGGGTTTTTTTCAGAATTTTTTATATTCTGACCTGGAAAAACTTATAAAATACTTCAGTTATACATAATTAGTCAATCCCAACCCAGTTTCTGTTACAGTAAACATTTTGGTTTATCTAAAGTTGCCTTGCAGTATATTCGTTTCTTTGATATTCAAAAGGTGTATCTCATGTAATCTAACAGATCACCGATGAGATCGGATCTGGGCTGTTCTCAGACTTCTCCAGTGTTCAGTCTGTGAACATCTCTGGAGTGGTCAATACTCAGGACGTGAATGCTGGAACCATCACCTACTGGCAGGAGATCAAATACCTCTTTTCCTGTAGATACCCACTGCAGTACATGGTCAACAACACGGAGATGAGTGTGTGAGTGGAGTGAACATGAACAGTGAGGTCCCAACGGTCTGAGACTACACTGAAAACCTGGGATTCATGGTTCAAAAAAAAAATATACAGTGGGTACGGAAAGTATTCAGACCCCCTTAAATTTTTCACTCTTTGTTATATTGCAGCCATTTGCTAAAATCATTTAAGTTAATTTTTTTTCCTCATTAATGTACACACAGCACCCCATATTGACAGAAAAACACAGAATTGTTGACATCTTTGCAGATTTATTAAAAAAGAAAAACTGAAAAATGCTCAGTATTTAGTAGAAGCACCCATTTGATCTAATACAGCCATGAGTCTTTTTGGGAAAGATGCAACAAGTTTTTCACACATGGATTTGGGGATCCTCTGCCATTCCTCCTTGCAAATCCTCTCCAGTTCTGTCAGGTTGGACGGTAAACGTTGGTGGACAGCCATTTTTAGGTCTCTCCAGAGATGCTCAATTGGGTTTAAGTCAGGGATCTGGCTGGGCCATTCAAGAACAGTAACAGAGTTGTTGTGAAGCCACTCCTTCGTTATTTTAGCTGTGTGCTTAGGGTCATTGTCTTGTTGGAAGGTAAACCTTAGTTCCAGTCTGAGGTCCTGAGCACTCTGGAGAAGGTTTTCGCCCAGGATATCCCTGTACTTGGCCGCATTCATCTTTCCCTCGATTGCAACCAGTCGTCCTGTCCCTGCAGCTGAAAAACACCCCCACAGCATGATGCTGCCACCACCATGCTTCACTGTTGGGACTGTATTGGACAGGTGCCTGGTTTTCTCCACACATACCGCTTAGAATTAAGGAGGAAAAAAAATTAACTTAAATGATTTTAGCAAATGGCTGCAATATAACAAAGAGTGAAAAATTTAAGGGGGTCTGAATACTTTCCGTACCCACTGTATATATATATTAATCCATGAAATGAAGAATAAATGTTTACACTATTTTTAATAATCAAATAAGCAACTTTGTGACCATCTGAATGTTGTACAAAAGGTCAGATGTTCTTCCTTGCATCAAACTTCCACAAAAATACTAATTTTATGAATTTGTAATGCAGCAAAATGCAAAATAAAAGTGTTTTCAGTGATCTCAGACTTTTGGCTTCCACTGTATGTCTTAATATGTGAAATCTGTTCAGTCTAAATGATTTAATGAATTACTCACTAATCATTTACACACAAACATCTGTTGTTCTGCAGATCTGGAGTGAGTTTGGCAATTAAAGACAATAATGGTAGTTTCATCAGCACTCTGAGCATGGTTCTTTTTGAGGTATAATATGTTCCTTTGGCTCAGTTTAGCAATGACTTTCATCATAACACATTATTGGAACTGGCCAACTGCACGTGTTCTTAACTGTCTTTCTGCACTGACTCAAAGGACTACACATATACCACTCGTCTCTTCATACCTCCAACGGGTCTCATGCTGAAAACCAGGGTTTTTGTGGAAGTGCGAGCCACTAATCTCACAGAGAGGTACTTTGTTCAGTTTGAGAATATTTTGAATTATGTTATTCATCATAAGGTGGCCTATGACATGATACAAATAGTGCCCAGGACAGAGGAGTGGCACCCAAAAAAAAAAAATTTTATATATATATATAAAATATTATAATTTCCCCCCATAAAGGTTCAATGTTCTTTTGGATCGATGCTATACAACCACAAGTCCTTACCCAGGAAACAGCACATCATTTGACCTGTTTGTCGGGTATGTGTGAAGACTTAAATCTTTGTTTCGGTTACACTTTTTAACTAATATTTAATATTTGAATCTAATTTTTGCACTGACTTAAGCAAAGATGATTGCGAGGATGATTCAGGTACAAATATGCATCTGAAAGTGATTCCACAGCTCAGTTAAATCCAGTGCTGGGTACACTTACAAACTGTACAAACTGTAGGATTGCAAATTACATGACAGAAATTGTAGTTAATAACATAATCTATTGCATGAAACATTTGAAACATTTTAATTTGACGGCTTTTATCATTAC